GCCTTGCATCCTTCCGGTGTCTCTAGATTAGGACGGGTTTCGGCATGTACGGTTTCGGCATGTACAGTTTGAGCAACAAGTTCGAGGGCAATCTCCGGAGGCGATGCTCGCACCTCATGCCAATGAGCCACACCTTGAAGGCGGATCTCCCTTGGTAACAGCTTTCGCAGCGAATTGATTACCCCTCGTAGCGCTAGCATCGTCGCATTCATCTTCGGCACATCTTTCTTGAATTTGACTTTGGACCTGAGACTGACAAACCTCGGACGGAGGAGTCCATACGTTTGCCATCGAAGCGCTCTAGATACGTCGTCAATGTATGGGTACCACTGTCTTCCAACGCTGGAATTCGGGTCGCTTTTGGCCCATTTGGCGTTGAGATGAGTGGTAGATGGCGATAGATCTAGATAGCCCTTCTCTTTTACGAGCGTCTGGATGGCCCTCCCAACTGAAAGAAGCGTATGTGCGTCTCGCGCGAATCCTCCGGCACTATCTTTCGGATCGTGTGGCATTGAACCGAGGTTGACACTCGCCGTCCATGATGGCAGATCCCGCACAGCATCAATACCAAGACTTGCTCTGCACTTGCATGGTATGCGGTCATTTGTAGTATTGTTGCCCGGAAAAAACTGATCCAAATGTACTGAGGCGATACGTTCACAAACTGGACATACTGCTCTGCCAGTAGGGTGTATGAAAGGTACAATAGGTTTAGGATGCAGCGAGGACAAAGGGCAATCGGGAGATAGAGCAACGATTGGGGGCGTTGGAAGTGTAGATTTGCATCTGATAGCAGGCAATGAGCGATATGGTCGATAGGGTAGCAGCATTGATGCGCAGTATCTTCGATGGATTGATACAGAATTCAATCTTTGCATGAGCGCCATTGGCAATAAACTTATCGTGAACCGTTCAAGATGCGTATACAACCCAACTCTCTGCTACAGGTACTTTGCTGTGACCCAAATACCTGATACCGCTTGCTACACCTGCTACTGGCTCTTTGATGAGCTCTGGCGAGAAGCAACTTGCGCTGTCGATTTGCGACGTTGGAACTTCGTCGAATCGACATGCTTGCTACGCGTCTTGTCTGGGAGCATTCCTTGTGCCAGTGGTAGACCCGCCTGCGCTCAGCATGATTGCCCTCGTCAGATCTGAACGCATTCTTTGGGCGACGATTGACTTTGCTTGAGTTTGACATGTTGACACACGCGCGTCCGTGAAAGGTATCTTTGTTCGTGATTCGTTTTGGTACCGCTTTGTTCAGCATGTTTGTGAGGCTACCATTGCGAAAACATGTTGACACCGGTGCTTTCTTTGCCTGGGTTCTAAACACTTGGTATTCCTTCAAAGACACATGCAGACTGGTGTTGACTTTGCTCATGTGTGGTGGAGAAACCCGCAGGTTGTCGCGGCGTTTGCCACCGTCTTGCCACTGGGAGAGAATGCGCAATCATCTAAGTTGTATGTTGTAGACTCCACAGTCTGGTGAATTTGCTTCCACAATCGTTCGCCGCTTTGACGTAGTCGCACAGGAACCATGTTTGGTGTTGCAGCCGCTATGCACAACACAATGAATTTCTCCGCTCGGAAGCCTGGGCAGATCAGTTTGTCCAAAATAGTCTACTATTTGATCAACATCTGTGCGAAATGGCTTCACTACCGAGATTTCAACAGTAATATCGCGACGTTGATGATCCGGGCGTGACCTTTGCTATCACTGTTAACACGCTAGACGCTTCGTTAGTCTCACCTCCCGCCTGTCAAAACCCCTCTTACCCTGGGCACCTGCCTACCTCCACTAGTACCCACGTACCTCACCTACCTAGGTCTTAAACCTCACTCACCCCAACAATCTTCGCGCTCATGGCATCCTCCCGTCTTCTTCGACGTGCAACACCTTTCTCACTCCCCGCCCGCCTTCTCAACCACCATCAAATGTCGACAAACAAGACTACATCAGTTCGTTCATACCTGCCGACGCTAGGTTTTGGCAGGATGGCTGACATGAACGAGAAAGCGCGACACGTTGGGGCCCAACAGTATGCAGATTTCTCGAGGTGGCGAGCTAGCAACGACAAGCACGCGCTTCCCTTCAAGCAACAGATTTGCGAGTTCTTCGAGATCGATGTAAGAACTACGGTGCATGCGCTGCTTTAAAGAAACTTACTGACATCGTGTGCCACACCTCAGATAGAGGACAAACAGACGTTTGGCGACATCTTGGATGAATACATGAAGAGACAGGACGCATACGCAAAACTACGGGTGCCTCCTTTGGGCGAAGGGACCGATCTGGACAAAGTGCTTCGCATGAACTTCAACCGAGAGTCGACAGTCACTCATATGCGGGATGTTGAGATGCAGCTGTCCAGCCGACATACCTACGGCATGGGCCACCACAAGAACGTTGATCTTTATCTAGAGATCCTTCCAGCCGAGCTCACCGCCCATTACGCTCCTTCAGCTATCAGCGAGATTAATCATTACTCCAACGCGGTCTCCACCCCGTTCATATACGCCAAACATCATCTGGGAAAGCCACACGGCAGTGACGATGTCGCCCGACCAACACAGTCTGGAGGATCGTCTGGACCCTTAAATCAGACGCGTCCGTTGTGGTTCGAAGCTAACCCTAATGCAACCGGGAACGCGGAATCTCCAAACCTGTACAAATCGAAGTTGGTACACATCGGGATCATCAATGCCGAGGAGGGCACCAAGGACAGCGGCATCAACACTCAACAGACGCCATACGCTGCCGTAGGACAGATTGGAGACAACGGTTTTATTACGGGCATTTATGCCATTCCTCTGGATCTGAAGGACGACGAAGAGGAGAACGAAATGTCGCCGTCGAGGTGGTACGATCTAAATGACCTCTGGAAGCCAGACAGGGTTGGTGTCTACTATCTCGGCAAGACGCTCGAAGAGTGCAGGAACAACGAGTGGAAGTGGGTGTCCGACGGCCCGGTCGAAGTCATCCACATACCGGAGGACGTGTAGTGAGTGGACTATCCGGCCTTTGTTGCACGGAGCGCGAAGAAGACATGCTAACCTTCATCAGGAGCATGGCTATGGTGTCGAGGATGTAGTCTTATGGGTCTGGTGTTGCTTGATCTTGAGTTCTGTCGTGAGGCAATGTCGGAGTCTGGCGTGGTCAAAAGGCTTGATGTTTTCCTGTTCTTCTCGCACGACCCATCACTACTCGACACCACTTCCAGCTGGCTGTATCTGCTGCGATCAGCGTTGTCGAGTTGGTGATGGCGGTTTTAAGCGGTAGCGAGAAGTTGATGACTTTGATGCGCGCGATGGTTTTAGGGATGCAAGGATAGACTCCAGTAATGAACAGCTCACCGAATCTTGTCCGTCACAGGCTTTGGGTTTTACCTCGGTCCATGGGAAAGGTAGGTGTATCTTCCAGCCAATTGTGATCTCGCTAGTTTGGTCGCTTGAGTTGGTGGTGTATCTCCCTGGAAGAGATATTGCCGGATGTGAGACGTATGGCTTTTGAAGGCGTGGGTTGCACATTGTCCTTGTGACGTTGTCGGCACTAGTCCAAAAGATAGCCATCTCCAGCAGGGTACACGAACGAAATGAAATCCAACATCCACATGCTTCGTTTTGCTGATGATGCACGCATTGTAAGAGTGACTTCATGCAGGCATCAAGTCACATTGGTAGAGGAGAAGTGTCGATATAGGCAGACGCGAGCTTGCCATCGCGACCAGCCCTCTGCGGGATAGATGGATCAAAGCCATTGCGATACTCAGCTGCTAAGGCGCGCACGTTGAGCGGATATGACGCGCAGTCGTCTCCTGCCCTCACCGAGCGGCGGGCACCTTCATGCCCGAATGGTCTCTTCGGAACGAGGTAGCGGGGCCCATATATATGTGTGATAGTCGTCATCGCGTCGCAGCTATGCTGATGAGCGGTCTTTGAGTTGAAGACCTTGCGTACGGGAAGAAGATGCGCGTGTTGTTGAATGTTACGAGTTTTGACGCGGCCGGTGGTCCCAACACAAAGCCAACGTGGCATGACCACCTCCGCGGCGCTGTCTTGAGCGCTATTGGTGGAGCGCGAGTCAGCCCAGGAACTCCACAACTCCATTCATCACCCAGGGGCCTGACTTTTCCCACTCGCGCCAAGCCTTCTCAATCAACGATCTCGGACCAGGAGAAGCTTTCTTGTAAAAACGATGTTCCAACCCTTACATCTCTGATCAGAAATGAGCTGTTGGCATCGATCTTGTCCGGCGTCTGGTGATATGAGAAGCAACACGGCGCACGTCTGAGTTCTTGCACTTGCACCGGCGACGCATGGAGTGCGGCGCATCGTGATGGCATGAAGGCTGGGTTGACAAAGCTTGGATTCACTCGCGTCAAGACGAAATCAGTCTGATGGGCCGTAGCAAACTGCACCACATTTGGCGTGCTGCCGCGCTCCTTCCCTCCAACCTTCAACACACCAGACGGGCAATGAACTTTTGACTGCCACCACAACGTTTACCCGGGCAGAACGCCATCCTTAATCTTTTGAAGGCCTTTCTCCCTTGGATTCCAGCCGGAAGAATACTTGAAGTTGACGCATACATCCCGTCCGGGAACCGATAACTCACGTGTAGAAAGGCAGACATGACACGAACCGACCACGAAGTATTGGATTGAGATAATGCTATGATGAGTACTTCTACTACTATTTGTTGCCTATATCTGACTCAGGAAGTTTTAACCTCGTGATCAAGGACAAAAACGGGTCATCACATCGCAGATGCACCACGGCGAAGATGAATGATTGACAGATGATGTCAAGCAAGGTTGTCATTAACTAATTAAATATACACAAATATGAATGGGTATCATCATGGTAGTCATTATTTGTGTCTTTGTCTTCCATCCGTCTTCTAGTATGATCCAATCTGCGCACCGGGCGGGGCCTCGATATCGATACGACCATGAGCCTGCGTCTCAGGGAGCCTGAGACTGGAAAGTCCAAGAACATCAGGCATGGCAAGGTCGGGAATGCCAGGATAGCCGGCGAGTCTGCGCTGCGTAACCCCCCACCTTGAATTTGTCCTTTCCGATCCCGAGTCCGTCCTTCCTCCTAACATGATCAAAGACGTTGTAACGTGGCCCTGCGCTCTTCTGAGCCTTCTTCTTCTCCTTGCCCTTCCCTTTCTTCTGTTTGTCTTGACTCTCTCTCAGAACTGACCACATGCCGTTATCGTCTTGCACTGCCCTCTTCATCCCTTTCCGCTTCTCTTTGTCCCTTGCATTCTCCTTCTTCTTTGCCTGCACAGCTGGCGTGGCTGGAAGTGCCGGGGCGCGGGCGGTGTTGATGGTAAAGGGACCGGGCTCGGGGGAGGCCACGGCTGCAGTATCGACGTCCATCTCCCTATGCTCGGGCTGCGCGTGGCTAGCCTCATACTCCTCGATCGAGACATCCCCTATCACGCTCGCGATCTGCCAGGTCGACAGCCACTTATTGCCAATTCCGTCCAGCCCGGCCCATCGCACCCGATACTCCGGTTCGTCGGAGTTCTCTGGGTGTCTCTTGTGGATAAGGCAGTCGACTTCGTAAGTATCTTTGGTGTGATCCGCCGGAATTCGAAGCTTCGCGCGAGTGCGATAGGTGCGCGGCTCATAGAAGTTCATGCCAAGAGCGGCTGGGCGGCGGAAAAAGCGGCGCGTGGGCGCGGTGGAGCTGTCACTGTGTACACCACGTTAGTACGACGATCAGGTACAACGAGGAAGGCGGTAGCGAGTCAGAGCAAGGGTCATACCGTCGCGTGTCATGATGGCGGGGTAGCGTGGGCGCTACGCTGCTGGTCTGGCCAGGAGTGATCGTGGTTGGGCCGGAGACTTTGCCTGTGCGCTACGTATGTAGCCAAGCTGATGTCAGATGGCAGGGATGCGCAGCACCTTCTTTCAACGACGACGCGGGAAAGCGGGAAAGCAGCGTTTATTTTATCGCGGTAGCAAGAGCATGTCGACTTAAGTACAGTTTTGCACATTCATTTATTGAGAAAGGCTGACGTCGTTTGGAGTTGGGTTCCTGTCTGCACGCAGAGGTCTTGGTGAGCTGAGGCGGTTCTGGCTGCGGGACGCCCGCCCCAAGTCCCCTGGCTGCGCACATCTCTCCAGAGCCGCAAAGCGATCCAATCTCCGTTATAACTTGGATTCTTTGTCGCATTGATCATCTCGAAGTACTTGTCATTTTGCAATGCTGATATCTACACGTCGTGGTTGTGGTGTCGTATGGCACTGTTTTGCAGCTCGCCAGCAAGCCCCATGCGCAACGCATCCCGTTGCGCCTGGCGACGCCACCATGTCCAGGTCGACCGAGATGAGATATCGCACCCGCTAGATCCTCGTGATAGAAGCTCGGTATCATGATGAAGGTACCACATACTCGTCTGCAGTGGTGTTCGTCGATGAAATCTGTCCAGCCCGTCCGTCGTCCACAAAGGTGCTCGAGAGGCTGAGAACGTGTAAGGGTTGCATAAACAGAGACGTTGACTCTAGTTTATGTTTCCTTTAGACTTCCCTGAGCTCTTGTCGTCGCTCCGAATTTGTGTCGCTGCGAGGCAAATTTGAGACACTGATTCAAGGCCCTTACTCTCACTCCTTCGTTTCAGCGCCAGCGCAGTTGCGAGGTCAAGCAAGTACTCGCATCACACCTGATGTATCGCTCCCCCTATTGATCAATGGTCCGCCAGCATCAAGAGCAGTACTATTATTCTCGCTGTCTACTCATGCAGAGGCCATTTATGCCATCCACAGCGCACTGCGAGCGAAGCCAAAGACCACGAATCATTGCCTCACACCTCATCAATATTCTGACCATATTACAGGCCCAAGGCCGACCCAGACGGCATGATAAATATCGCGTGTTTCCTCCCGGATGTTCTCATCGTGGCATATTCTACGCAGCGGACGAGAACAGTGGCAAGATTTCGAAATCGCTAAACATCAATCGGACCTGCACTGTGACCCTTACGTAAGTACATTATACGGAATCACGTACCCTTCTCCCCTGTGCTTCCCCGCTGACTTCCAAGATCAGGCGCAATGGACAACCGTCGTTCGCCCCTACCTATCTGGCTCGATATCCTGTTGTTCATAAACCTCACGATTGTCATTGTCTGTACCTCCAAGATCTTCCTTCACAGTCTCGGCTACTTGGATGCCCACTATGTCTCGGGGTCGGACGCAGATGCTCGCGTGTTGCTTCTAGGAGGGTTCTTCATGATCCTGGTTGCCATCATGATCATGAGGAGAGCACAAGCTGTCATCAGAGACGTGGAGAAGCTCAAGTCTAGCATGTCGCTAGCCCGTCGTGAGCTGGCTGTCGCCGAGCGTAATCGTCGAGAGTCGCTAAGGGAGGAAGAGGACGAGGAATTCGAGCTCATATTATCGGACGCTACTACCGATACGATACAGGCAAACCTGAACGCACTCCGAGCCTATGCCGACGCCAACAACGACATTATGGCGATCCTGGACAGAATGCACGGTCGCAAGGACCCCGATATGGCTTCTATCAGGAGTGTGCTCGAGGTCAGAACCACCATCGAAGAGCTGAGGAGGAAGAGTGGCGACGAGTTCGAGATGTACATTGCTCGCTTGGACACTATCCGCTCGGCTTTCAGGCAACGAGACACCTAGGATACGTACCATGTTCTTCCACCCGAACTTTGTTGGCGAGACGAAGGAGGTCGTGGTTCCTTTCATACATGTATTCGTGTCGAAGACTTTCCTAGTTACTGTAAAGAAACTCAGCTAGCACAGCAAAAGTTTTGGTAGCGTCTTGCCAGTTCTTTCTCTATACTGAATTGATGTCTCCTCTTTTGCGGTGCCCATGTATCAGAGTTAGTTATAGCCAGTGTACTACCGTCTTCCTCGCTGGTCCATCTTCACCCAAAGGTGCTGCGGAAAGAAGAGAAGTAAGCCAAGGAGCATGTTTCTATTGCGATGCATCATCTTCTCTGCCAAGGGTGATACACAAGACCCTCATCCCTATGGGAGATGGAAAGTCCAATGATCTTCAACCTCACTTCCAACCCGGACGTGTAGTCTAAAAACCGCGTGTGAATGTAAGTACATTAAGGCCACCAACGTGTCGATTGGGCGAGCAATGCGGGAAAGACAAGCCAAGGCTGGTACGACGGGCGGCTCGGATCGATACCATTTGACAGTGAGGCATCATGCCGGCTCCCTCCCACACAATATGACATTGACATTGTTACCTGCTGAGGTGCGGCACCGGTATGGCAATATTGGGACCGGTGCGATATACAGGCCACATCTGAGCTCGTCGAGGGGCCATCAGGCTGTGCGCATTCCTCTCCGCCTCTCCTCGCTACCCGACACAACCCACGATCTAGCTCACAGGCCCATCACCTCAGCGGGATCAATGCCATGCAACCGGGTGTATGTAGGTGCCGTCCTCCTCGTGTATCACCAACCCGCCGGCATAGCAAAGAGCGGCTTCGCTTATTCGGACGTCGTCGAGGGGACAGATTTTGAAGAGGGTCATCGTGGGCGCATCGCGGGCTGGGACAGGTGCTGCAGACAATCGCATGGCTGGCCCGGATCGACTGGGAGGAGGCTCGAATGGAGATTGGAGGCGAGCGATGTGTAGAGGACGGGAGCATCAGTCTCGACCGCCAAGGCGTAGCGCAGTGAAACCGCCAAGATCTTCGAGCGCGGAGATACATGACGATGTGCTGTGTTCTACATCTCATCTGATGGCATTGGCTTTGCCCGGCACTGCTCCGATATCTTGTCATATTGTGGTGTCGGATCAAGCTCCTAAGCGGTGAATCGAAAAAGACGGGTCAAATGATGCAACGCCAGTAGCCGTATTTTCTCCTTCTCACTCGGTCGGCTTGTCTGATCTCGTACGCAGGGAAGGGTGGTTGATACGGGGAGCGGTCGAAGACTGGTCCGTGTGCGTATGCGGTGAAGCGTGTGTTGACGGACGATGAAAAAGAGTCGCAGCCTGGTACTCTTCTAAATACCAAGAGTCAGTATGAAGCCAATCTAGATGAATGCAGCCTGGGCAGTTCGTACCTTTGGATGGCGGTGATTTGGGATCGCAGCGCGAGCTCTCCAAATCGCAACACCCTCCTCATGGCAGTTGATGCGCCTCCATACGCGCCTCGGTACTTATGATGTCATCTCTCCCTTTTGGACACACGATTAGAGGTTGTGGCGCCGTACATGGCTAGTGACGTCGCATCACCAACGGCGCATCGCATTGCTGTGAGTCGAGAAGAACGCAGTAATGGTGGTGTAGAGCGCGGGATCAATCCAGGGGCACGGGTACCGGATGCGCATACGGGCGTACGCGGTGTCCTCACTCGAGGGCGCGGTGGCCTGCGATCTTGCCCGGGTGGAAGCTGACTAGTCGGCACGTGATGACGACAGCTTGGCAGGGTCCTGCCTCCCCGCAATCGAGGCTCAGCGCATTTGCCAGATGCTTTCGCATCCTCGTACTTCGTCGGCACAAAGACGAACACCTTACCTGCCAATGGCGGCGCTGTCGCCCACGAACGAGAGGCATCATATCCTTGTTGGGTGCGGCCCCGGGGGCAAAGCAGCTGACTTCCGCGCTAGACAGTTCGCACTTAAACTCAACGAACGGCGACAATACTACACCAAGCATATTTTTCTGCCTAAGACTTCGAAGGGAGATGAATTTATAGTGGTATCAAAGTTTCTCCAACATTTTGCCCGGATAAAATCGACTCATCAGCCCCAGCGATAGAGAAGTAAACGGCACGGAAGACGATGAACTCAACGATGCCAATCCACATGCGCTGGAACGAAGTCAAAAGAGTCAAGCCATATTCCGGCATCAATTGTTTGAGAAAGAGCTGGATACTGGTCCATGTATCACGCAAACCCGTGCGCAGAGAAAAGAAAGCTCCGGAGCGCAGCACATCATCCCGATTCCAATGCCAGCCATAGTCCACCACCTACAAGTCTTTGATGATGCTCTTCATGAACCACATCATGACAATGAGCGAGAAGAACATGAGAAGTAGGGCCTGTCCGATCGCCACGGCAGCCATGATCATGGCGACGATCGTAGCGAGACCCTGACTGATAACCACGCTGCAGAACATGGTAATAACAACCTTGGCTTTAGCTTTCGCTAGAGCCACGTCCACCTCTCTGTCAATACATCTGACCCGCTCAGAAGGGACTGGAGCCTCTGCATGGTCGGGCGAACTGGCGGCTGAGAGTTCAGATGTGAGCAAACGTATGCAAAAGTGCGGGTATATCGTACCAATCATCGGCGCTACTGTTGGGACGTCCACCACAGAGGGCACGTTCTCGCCATCATTCTCACGCGGGTTCGACGATGGGTGTTTTGCCTTGCCCGCGAGCAGCAGGTCATCGTATGGGTCTCCTTCAGTCTCTGGCCCAACATCAGTTTTGCCATCACGCACGACTGTCGCACCGGGATCGTCACTCACCATCGCTGGAAGCATGCATGGTGAAGAGCGTGCTGATACGTTCAGCAAGCGGGCTGTCGAACAGCCGGTCAGGATCGCCAAGTTTGAAGAGAGGTTGCAGCTCATAAACCTCCTCGTGGCGTGAGTTATTGACGCTGCCGACGCCCGACATGACGGTCAGTTGGTAGAATGTCTTCGATCTGGGACAGTGGGTGCGTTGTAATGGGCAAACACGGTGAATGCTATATCTTGAGGAGAGTACAGCCGTGGACAGATTTCTGATGTCGTGCTTGAAGGGTGTGGAGGGGAGCTGACTTCTTATCCAGACCG